ACAGTCATGCGTTTTAGATGGCTATTCTCATAACGTCTCATTGATGTTAACTAGAATCATAATCTCAATAAGGCCCTACATTTTTTTTAAATTGCTTTGCCAAAATGTAAAGACTTTGCTTTCTTATTTTTGAGAAAGTGGATTCAGTTCTGTATTCCTTGCTTGTGCTTACTTTTACTCCATCTTTTTCTAGGAAGGATTTGAAGGGTAAGAACTAGAGGTGAGAAATCTGGAAATACATAGCAGAATGTTGAACTGACTGTTACGTGATTAAGCATTGAGGTGGGGACCTGTCAGCATTGTAGATAGATGCTGAGAGGACTCAGGGAAGCCCATCTACACATAAAGTGAACTATCTGGCTCTCCTAGGACGTGGTGGTGGCAGAGGGCCCACCAGGGTAGTACCTTTGAGCAAAGGTACAAGGAAGAGCAAGAGTCTAAATGACAAGAGTCACAATCAGAGAGAAGTGCAGCAGAAAGCAGCTCTCGGGCAAACAAAGGGAAGTTCACACCACAGGAAGAGAACACATAATAACAGATCAATTTTTCCTCCACTTTGCCAGCACAGATCCAGCATGCATTTCAATAAGGTCGTCTTCAAATTGGAACAGCAAATTTCCCAGCATATCTTTGATCTAGGATTAATTTAGTTATTTTTTTGTTTTGTAGGTGCTGTGATGATTGAAATGAAATGGATGTTTTGTGCATGATATGAACAAATAAATAATTTCAACTCCACCAGACTTTAATCTCAATATGATGAAGGTTTATTCTGCTTTTCAGGCACGAGTGCAGCACTGCATCTGTTCGGTAGCCAGTGACCACTCAGTAGGACTTCTAAGTCTGCGAGAGAAAAAATGCATTATGCTGGCGTCTCGTCACCTTTTCCCTATCCACGTCATCAAATGGAGGCCTTCTGACGATTACCTGGTAGTGGGGTGCTCCGACGGCTCGGTGTACGTCTGGCAGATGGATACTGGTAAGAACAAGGGCAGGAGGAGAATGGAAGATTACAGGGGTATCCTGGATTTCCTAGGAGAAAAATACTGTCGTTAGAAGTGTGTATGTTACACTCACACATACATGAGACAGGGCTTCAAGGAGTTTATGGAAAAAATGAATGAAAAGATAATGGAGTTTTTTCACGAACCTTTTGACTCCCCCTCATGTGGGAATGGGGTTTGCGGAGAAGGCCATCAAATGTAAAAAGAATTACTGATTTTATTTCTGATCACTGATTTTCCTAAAGTTCTCATTATTATCTTCAAAGAAATATTTACTATTTAAGGACCCTCTGATTTGTTGTCTCTGCCAACTACTTGTAGAGCAGTTCTCCAGTCTCTTAAGGGCATGCAATTAAAGGCAATGTACTGATCAGGACAGAAAATCAAAACCGAGTCCTATATGTGACAAAAGAGTCAGAAGTGACTCGACAGCACTTAACAGCAGCCACAATACATGACAAAAACATAAATCGTTTTTATGTAAGTCATAAGGTAAATGTTGAACAAGGTGAAGGAATCCTTTTTTAGTTCAGTTTCACAAACAATAAATAAAATCTTATTTAAACGGCAGAAACCAAAGTTGTGCAGTTAATTGTAGGAGGTGATTGAAATATAAGTTTCAGTTCTGGAGAGAACATTACAGATTTCAATTTTCAGAAATGTTGTGTGTAGGAATGCAGTATGGAACAAGTGAAGCAAAGCTCTTGTGGGTTTTTCCTGGGAAACTTTAAGTATAAAACTAACTGTTTATTATTGCTGTTGTTATGTGCTGTGGAGTCGGTTCTGACTCATAACGATCCTGTATAGGGTTTCCAAGGAGAGGCTGGTGGGTTTGAACTGCTGACCTTGAGATTTAGCTGACCTTGAGGTTTAGCTTATCCTACATTGCCACAACAGAATTCCAAATGTTTGTTAGATAAAGCCTTTTGGAAACACTTTCCACGCTGCTTTTACAGTCTTGAAGTAATCATCTATCAGTATTTGAAACCTTTTTAATTTCAGATTTCCAGTTGTAGTTGTAGTATTTTGAGAGTTTTCCTTTCCTTCTTCTTTGCTTGTTTTAAATAGGGCCTTTGAGATCAGACTCTGCACATTTCTGCCAGCACCATGATGTTGTTGGGCATTCTCTGGAGACTTTGAAATCAGTAGCTGTAGTCTTCAGTGATCTTTTATATCAGGTCCTGCTTTTTCATTGATGGTAGGTCGTCAGTTTTGCCAAGGGGAAGCACTCTTCCTCTCTTCAAATTTGAAGTACACCAAACTTTTTGCTTTTGGAATTTTCTTTTTCTTGTCAAATAGCAAAACAGATTCCTACTTTTTGCTTAAGACTTTCAAAGCACAAAATCATCAAAAGAGACAATTGACACCATTGTCCAATGGTAAATGTTCTGTTTGGTTTTGGTCTGATTTCTATGCATTTAAAAAGATGTAAGTGCTGTCATACTTGTCGTGTGTGCTTATCCTGCTCTCTTATGTGATGGCCTATCTCATGAGCAGTACAATGTTGTGTTTGCTGGCTTGGACCATCTGACACAAGCAAATACCTGGTGTGTATTGTGGGTTCTGGATTCAGGCTGCTCAGTTTGAATCTCTGATCTATCTCTTGCTCACTTTCTGACCTTAGGCAACTTAACTGGACTTATTCTTTGATTTCCTCATCTGTAAAATCGTAGTTTTACAGATGGGAAAGAGTTTTACAGGCTAACATTAATTCCTATTTTATGTGTTGCTGAGAAAGTAAAATAAGTTTATATGTATCTGGTGCATGGTAGGCATAATGTAAGTGCGTATACATATATGTATCAGTGTGCATGTACATGTGTATATATTAACATTGTTATTAAATAGGCATGTTGCTTGACTTGTTACTTTCTTGTATTTAGGAGTATAACATTGTGTACATTTGTTGTTGTTGTTAAGTGCCATCAAGTCGGTACATTTAGAAACACTTTATTTGGTAATTAGCATTAAAGTAAGACTTACAGCAAAAATGACATTCATAAAACATTGTATTTAAAATACTGTAAATATTAAATCAGTAGCTGTTATATCCTGAAAAGAAGAGTGTGTTAAGCGTTTTTTGGACTTATTTTAATTAAATACGATGGAGTAAAATGTAGTTTTCTTGCATTTTTTTTAAACTTAAATATGTTAAATTCTTTACAAATGAAACCTTACTGAAAAGCATTTCTTTTGCAGAAATGTTCCTAGAAGGGGATGACAAATGACCTCTCACTCTAGGGGTACTGGAGGAGATCATTCTCATGCCCACTTTAGTATAATCAGGCTCATAAACACAGTGTATAGTATTGAAAGGTTTCAGTTTTCGTGTGACCTTCAAGAGGATTGGGGTAAACAGTCAGTTAATATGACAGTCTTAAATCAAGGTAAAAACTAGAAAAGCAGAATTTATCTTGGATTTCAACTGTAATAGCAGGTATACATTCTTTTTCCTTCCTTGCTGTTCAGACTTTAGCTAGAGATATAAAGGTCCCCGGGGAGGCAGTAAGACACATCCTGAAGGTATTGACATTATTTATTTATTAAATTTATTTATTTATTAAATAAATAAAAAATGAAGCTAGATAAATCAGATTCAGACAAGGTTTGCTGTTTGGAATGTGTTTAAAGCCTAAGAAGACACTGTATCCTTCCTCTTAGTGTCCTGGGAACGTGTTTTAACAAATGAAGGGTGTTTACATTAAGATTGCTCTTGCATATTAGGTGATTTTTTTTTATGTTTGCTATTGAGAGAATTATATTGATGTTTTTAGTTTAACAGCAGTTAAACATGCCTTTCCTTTATACCTTTATGCCTCATTTTCTTTTAGTTTATTTTTTGTTCTTATGAATAATTTTTATTTTCAGTGTTTATCTCAATGAATTTCAAACTAGTAGTAAAATAATGTGAAAACAGAGTTCTGGTCTGGTGCTATGGGATTAGTACCTCAAAGTCAGGGGTTCACACTTACCAGGCGCTCTCTGTAAACCCTGTAACAGGGTCACTGTGAGTCAGAACCCACTCAATGGCACTTCGTAACAGCAGTGTACAATTTAACTAGGAAGACAGAGGACAGGAATATGACTTTTTAAAATCGTGACATTTTATATCATATAAAATTAAAGATCCTATTGACAAATATTGGTCCAAAGGGGAAAAATACAGATAAGAATTTCAAGTTCTCATGGAATCTAGACTTTCTGGAGCCATGGTAGGCATCTACCTACCAAATGATTTTCCTGAGATCATCTTTAAATTGTCAACCTTCAGGAATAGCTCCTCAAGTCTTCTTTGAACCAAACATTAGTGTTACTTCACCAGGAAAGGATGGCTACCGTAGGCATTATGCTTTTTTTTTTTTAAAGATTCTTATTGTAGTTTGAGTGAAAATACAGAGCAGGTTATCAATGTTACATTCAACAAACATACATCTTGTTTCAATGATTGTAATCCCCCCTCCATGTACCATCAGTTAACAGTATTTCTCTCTACTCACATTAGCTCTTTTTTTTTTTTAAAACTCAGGCATATATAATAATTTACACCATCAAAGGGCACATTCTGCAAGTCTGCCTCCTGGCTGCCAGCTCTCAGTCCCTCTCTTCCCATAAGTCTAGAGTCTTCAGCTGCTTCCTGGCTCCATGCCCCCATCTCTTCCTCCATCTCTGGTGTTGCTGCTTCTTTGGATAAGGTTCCACATTCCATTTGTGCCCTTCTCCCATGATGGTCCTAGGGTCCTCTGTTTCTGGACTGTAAGATTAACTACTGTCCCATTTTGGTTACAAAACTTCTACCTTTACAATTGTGATGGTTGTAATCAGTCATGATAACAATTACTATTGAATCAGACGAATCTTATCCCCATCTCTTTTTACCAGACTCATCTAGACAAGATGAAAACTATTCAGTGGGGACTCTATCTTCCCCCGCACACTCTTAAACTAAACTCTTCCTTGAAAGTTTGGCATTATACTCTTTTTAAGACTTGACAATTTGGGCTTGGCTCTAAAGGTTACATAGGATGCATATGGGGCAGGGAGTTTATAATAAAGTGTGTGTGTGTGTGTGTGTGTGTGTGTGAGGTTACGTAGGACGCATATGGGGCAGGGAGTTTATAATAAAGTGTGTGTGTGTGTGTGTGTATGTGTGTGTGAGAATTGCTACACCAACTTGAAGAACTTAATCAGTGTCACTGAATTATTCATGTGAAACTGCTGAATTGGGGTATGTTCTGCTGTGTGTATTCTCAATTATACCTAAAAGAAAAGAAAAGAAAAACAGGAAATCGTGATATAAAGGCAACCAAGCGCAAGCAGTTAGCACTTGACTACTCTCTGTAAGATTGGTTAGTTGATTCCACAAAGAGGTACCTCAGAAGTCAGGACTGGCAGTCTGCTTTTGAAAGGCGGTTGTTGTGAAGTGCCGTGGAGTCAGTTCCAACTCACAGCAACCCTTATAGGGTTTCCAAGGAACAGCTGGTGGGTTTGACCCAGCCACCTTGCAGTGAGCAGTCCAGTGCTTATCCTTCAGCACCACACCAGGACTCTGTGGAGCAGTTTTACATGCACACCTGGGTTGCTAGGAGACAGAATCCAATCGACTGAAACTAACAACGACAGAGACCATTGTTATACTTTCGCATCTGTGGGTACTTGGAAAAGTCATCAAGGAACAATCAGCAAAATTTGGCCACATGAACTTGTAGATTTCCACAGAGGAACATACTAAAGGTGGGCCAGTGACCTAGAGTTGGCTGCTTGCATATGGAACTGTGTTGGGGCTTCAGAGATCAGCTGTCTCAGTCTTCACCATTGATGTTCAATGTAAACATGCAGTGTTGTTCCCGTAGGCCTTTGACAAAGTCAGCCTCATGTCTGTTTGGTAAACAGTGGCATACTTAAGTAAGGACTATCACAAGACTTTCTTCTTGTCTATTTCTAGGTGTAAAACAACATTGTCATCTGCTAATTGTTATAGTTTTTGCTACTTGGCAAAATTACTATTTTTTTGTATATCTAGTACTGCAGGTATAATCCCTCAATCTTCTTGCATAACTGCAAATACCATTAAAAGCTGACAAAAACCAATAGAAATAGGTGTATAATACCTTGTCAGTATATTGTGTTCTGTTTCCTATTTTCTTCCTGTTCAGTTTTTTGTCCTTTTCATATTTCCAAAAGTATATTTGTTTTTGCATATGCTTCATGAGGTATGCATTAGAATCGTCTTTTTGAACTGTAAGTTAATGCATACTTATATGTCTACTGAAAACTGTACATAAAGCCCGGAGGACTAGGAACAGAAGTGTGCTGTGTAAACAGTCAGGTGGAGTTGGTCCACTGTGTCCTTGGTGACTGCAGTGAAGTAAAGACTTAGTTATGTGCTGTGCTTGGTTAAAACTAACTTTAAAAAGACAAAAAATGCTTTTGTGATTTCGTTTTGTTTCGTAATACTTCAAGTTAAATTGTGTTGTTACTTTAAATAAACAAACCATGTGCAGTTCAGTGACATTGATTGCATTCTTCAAGTTGTGCAACCATCCTCAGCCTCCTTCTCTGAGTTGGTCCACCTCCATTAACACAAACTCACTGCTCCTGGAACTTCCTGTCTAACCTTCCAAGTTGCTGTCATCATTGTGACTGCATATGGGTAGTTGTTTTAGAAAAACACAATATTCAGGGCAGACACTCTCTGCTAATTAAGCTAAGCAATTGTTTGGTTTAAAGAAGATGTCAGGGAATTTAAAAAAAATTGTTTTTTTAATGTTTTATTGTGAATTATATGCTCTGGTAGCGTGGTGGTTACGAATCGGGCTGCAAGCCACAAGGTCAGCAGTTACAAACTACCAGCTGTTCCGCGGGAAAAAGATGAGGCGTTCTGCTCCTGTAAAGATTTACAGCCTCAGAAACCCTGTACAGGCTCGCTATGAGTCGGAACCGATTCCACAGCACATAACAACAACAACAACAACATGTGATAGTTTACATGGGAGAACCTTAGCTTTACATCCATCCTATCGTCTATCATTTCATTGCCATGGTTACAATCCCCTCTATGCATCGTCAACCAACCAAAGTGTATACCCAGCAAGCCTGCCCCCCTCAGGGAATATTTTTGATTGAAAGTTTGAAGATTAGCTCAGAGAAATCGTTTTGGGGGTTCACCTAGCTTCAGTAGCTCCAGAAATTTAGTGACTTTATTTTGACTTATTTAAATGATTGTTTTCCTCTTGTCACTCAAATTACCAGTGTGAATGAAAAAGTGGTGTAACCATTCATTTTTTATTGTTGTTATTAAGTATCATGGAGTCAATTCTGACTCACAGTGACCCTGTATATAGGGCTTTGAAGGAGCAATTGGTGAGTTTGAACTGCCGACCTTGTGGTTCAAACTGAAGTTGCAGTCCAGTGGTCCAGTGCTTATCCTACAGCTCCACATGAGGACTCACTAGGAGGTTTTTTCACGTAGTTAATTCTCAGTCAGCAATATCTCATACAGTGGAGGTTTCATTGTCTTTCTGTTTCACAGTGTGTTCCCATTGTCAGCTTATCTGTTTGGTCTACAATTGCTTTTCATTCTATTTTAAAGATGCCATAGGACAAAGAAAGACACAAAAAGTGAAAAAGTTAGAAAATCCTGGAAACACCAAATAAGAGGAGTTCCTTTCTCTCCTGTGGGTGATCCACTTGGGAGAATTGGAGGAGAGGTTATTACTGATTGTCTTTAATAGCTGCTCCCCCATATCCAATGGGCAACTTCTCTTTATTAGGCCCTCTCGCTCATTTTTCTCCTTCTGGTGTGACATTCTAACTTAGTTCCATGGTTTCCCATATTTCAGCTATCTTACATATTGGGTTCTCTGCCTACTCTTTCCTCTTCTTATGCATCCTTTACTTTACTAGCAAATTAATCTTAGAAAACAAACAATAACATAATTGTTGTCTTCATTAAAAACTAAAACCATAGATAATTTTAGTTCATATTGCCTTTAAGACATGTCCTCTGCAGTGTGGTATCTTTCTTCCCTCCTACTATGCTTTGATTAAACCAGATGCTCTGGTCTAGAACGATTGGGTCACTCTGTACCTTTTCTTGTCTTTTATGTTTTCCATATTGTTGCTCTTGATTTTCACTCATGTGGAACATCATTTTAATTCTTTCTGTTTGTTTAAGAAGTCTATTATCTTTTAAGGAAATTTTAATAAGCGTAGAATGTTGTATATTTCCTCCTGCAGTTACGGTTTCCATTGATTTTCATTATTTTGTGTGTGTAGAATCAGATTTTCATCCGGAACCATTTTCCTTTTGCCTAAAGCACTTCTTTTTACAATTCATGTAGTGTGAGTGCTGGTGACAAATTCCTTCAGCTTTTGTAAGTCTGAAAAGCGATTTCACCTGTATTTTAAAGAAACTTTTTTTTCTGAGTGTAGAATTCTAGTTTAACAGCTTTTTCCTTTCTTTTTTTTCAATACCCGCCTCTCTTCTCTCATTGTTTCTGAGGAGAACTCGGCTCTCATCTTTATCTTTTGTTCATCTGTATTACAACATGTCTTTTAAGATTTTCTCTTTATCACTGCTTTTGAGCAGTTTGATTGTGGTTTTCTTCATATTTCATGTGCTCAGGCTTTGTGTATCAGGTCTGGAGAACTTTGAGCTACTGGTGGTGGTGGTGTGCTGTGGAGTCGGTTCTGATGCATAGAGACCCGGCACAGGGTTTCCGAGGCTATAAATCTTTACGGGAGCAGAAAGACTCATCTTTCTCTCACAGAGCTGCTGGTAGTTTCGAACTGCTGACCTTGACAGTAGCAGCCCAACTTGTAACCACTATGCTACCAGAGCTCCTTTTTGGCTTCTACTTGTATTTATTTAAAGCTGTTTTCTGTCCTCTCTTCTCTTCCCACTGGGGTCTCCAATTATATGACTATTAGACCACTTGAAGTTGTAACACAGCTCACTTATGCTCTTTTCCTTTAGAAAAATTCTTCTTTTGTGTTTAATTTTATATCGTTTTTATTGTTACGTCTTCAAGCATGCCCATCTTTTCTTCTACAATATTACTGTTAATCTCATCCATTGGATTTTCTCATCCATAGTTTTCCCCCCTAAAGATTCTGCTGTAGTCTTTTGTATATCTTCCATGTCTCTATTCAAACTGTTTGAACATCCAGAATGAGTTACAATAACTTTTTCAATGCCTTTGTGTGCTGATTTTAACATCTGTGTCAGTTGTGGTTTGGTTTTAATGGATTTGACTTTCTCATTATGAGTAAGAGATTCCTGCTTTTTGAAATGACTGATAATTTTTATAGGATACCAGATTTTGTGAAATATATTTTGTTTTGGGTATTGGATATTGATTCCTAGAAACATTTTGAGCTTTCGTGTGGGGCCTAGCTAAGTTACTTGGAAACTGGTCCTTTTGGGTCTTGCTTTTAAGATTTATCAGGTGGGACTGTTGTTAAGTGATGTTGAGTCGGTTCCAATTCATAGCGACACTGTATCGCGTTTCCAAGGACCCGCCAGCGAATTTGAACTGCTGATCTTGCGGTTCAAACTGCCCTTGTGGTTGAGTGCTCAGCCTACAATGTTACACCAGAACTCCCAGGTGAGACAAGAGTAGTGTAAAGTTTGGAGGTGATTATTCCCCATAGTCTGGTACTGTGAGTTAACGTGCTGGACTGCAAAGTCGCTTTGAACTGCAAGTTCAGCGGTTCAAGCTCACCAGCTATTCCTAGGAAACCCTATTCAGGGTCACTGTGAGTTGTAACTGACTCTACAGCAGTTAACAACAACAACAACAAGGGTAAACCTGGAGTCCTGGTGTGGTGATGTGCGTTAATGCACTGGACTGCAAAGTGGGTTTGAACCTCATGGTCAGTGGTTCAGTCTTACCAGGCCCTCCTCAGTAACCCTATACAGGTTTGCTATGGGTTGGAACCAACCTGACAGCACTTAATAACAAGGGTAAAGCAAGACCTTCCTGAATACACTCTCCTTTAACCTGTGAATTGGTTTCAGTCTGGTTTGTGGGAGTAGTTTGTGTCACTATTCATGGCCCTCTGGGAGCATGGGCACTGTTCCCTCAAATCCTTTTTAGTGATTCTCTACTGGGCCATTTCTCTTAAAAGCACACACACACACACACACACACACACACAAACAAAAACCTGTTTAAAATGGCACAGCCTGTGTGATATTTGCGAATGTGTGTCTTCCAGGTGCCTTGGATCGTTGTGTAATGGGGATAACGGCAGTGGAGATTCTGAATGCATGTGACGAAACCGTCCCTGCTGCGGTTGATTCACTCAGCCATCCAGCAGTTAACCTCAAACAAGCTATGACAAGGCGTAGTCTTGCCGCCCTTAAAAATATGGCCCATCACAAGCTGCAAACCCTTGCCACTAACCTCTTGGCTTCGGAGGCATCTGACAAAGTAAGTTTCCTCTGTGCACTCACAACATGTGTGCATTTTACTCCGTCTGAGAACGTAGCCTTGGCGTGTCTTAGAGAAGAATGTCTGGGAGCTGACATGGTTGAAAATTCATTTTCTGATTTTTAGTGACTTTTATCCAATGTATTTTTAGACTACATCAAGCATTTGATGTTTTGAAAAAGTAAATTCTTACCATTTACAATATTTTATAATTATTCCTTCTGAATTAAATAGCTCCAGTTTCTAAAATGAAAGCAAACAATGTATGTATTATCATTCAGACTTTCTGACAGTGTGTCTGATGAAGTATTGAGTAACTAATGTCCACTGGCATTAAAAATAAAAATAAAAAAAAGCAAGCAAGCAAGCAAGAATTGAAGTACTACTGTGGCTTCTTACATTAGACTCTGAATTGACTAAGGTTGAGCCCTTCTCAGTATTTAAGAGAATATTTGGGAAGAACAAGATAGAGTTGCATGTGTGTTGGCATTTTCCCAGGAAACCCAATCTTAGTCATACTCTTGCCCCTTTACACTTCGACTTCAGGCATAAGTCACCTTTTCAGTTACTAGAAGGGTTGTTGTGGTTCATTATTATTGACTTGGTTCTCCTTCATGGTGACCCCATACATTCAGAGTAGAAGTGCATTATAGGGTTTTTAAGGCTGTGACCTTTTGGAAGCATGTTGCCAGACTTGTCTTCCGAGGTACCTCTCGTGGGTTGATGTTAAGTGCCGTTGAGTACATTCAGACTCATAGTGACCCTGGATAGTGTTTCCAAAGAGCGGTTAGTGGGTTTGAACCATCAACCGTGCAGGTTAAACCGACCTTGAGTTCTAGTACTTATCCTACAGCGCTAACTCAGGACTCCTTTTGTCCAGTAGTCGAGTGTTTAACTGTTTATGCCACCCAGGGGCACCTTGTAACAGACGATTATAACAGAAGAATACCCAATTAAAAGAAGAACAAGAGAATCCCGATTCATGAATTGGCTACCCATCTGGTTTTGTAAAGACCTGCACCCTGAGTCTGAACAGCAGCTAACAACAACAGTAACATCACTGTTTGGTTCTGGTATTTTCAATTGTGTTACGTTTAGAACTAGTTTGTCTCTGGTGACTGATAAGTGAAACCTAGAGGTAATCTGTTGTTTTGTTGTGCTTAGGGTCACTGTGAGTCAGAATCAACTCCATAGTGCCTAGCAACAACAAGATCATCAAGAAGAGATTTATTCCAATATTTTGTCAAAATCAATCCTTAGAATTTCTAGTTCCACCTAAGTTTTCATTAAAGTTATTCATGGGCACATTTTTTAAAAAAAATTTATTCTTATTCCTGATTCCTACTTTTAATGGCTAGATGTGTGAGTAAGTGGCAAAGGAGTTGAAAGGCTCATCTACAAACGTGAAAATTGGCCTATAAATTAGCAAGTGCCGAAGACACAACATACTGTTGGCAGTTCCACTGATCCATATCCTGCAGTAATTGGCATGATATCCCCTTTGATCATTTCTGTCTTTCCCTAAGATAGAAATGTTTTATTATACGCTTCATAGGTTAGAATTGTGAGGGCTTTTTTGCTTTACCTTCTCATGCATTCATCCCCTTGCTCTGAATTTTGAGGAACAGTTGCGCCTCCCCTGCCCTTGATCATGCCTGTCATTCCTTTCAGGGGACCACACAGATTTCCCTGGAAACTCTGTGCTCGTGGCGCACCGTCTGACATTCTATATCATTTTAATTTTGAGCAAATTTATAAAGTATACTCAAGGGCAAGCACACATATATGGTGCACCTGCTCTTTAGATTCTTCTTCTTGATAGCATCTCCTAGAAGTAAAAATTTGGAAGCAGTAATTATATATCTGGAAAATTAAGGAAAAATAAGTAGTACAGTAACATTCATGAATGTCTTTTGTAAGCGGTCATGGTCCATTATGTGATTTTTACAATCTTGTTTGTCCCTGTTTTAATAGCGCATTTTATAGTGCAATTAGTGATAAAAGCACCAAATATCAGAGACACTACACTTACGTATTGTAAAATATATTGCTTGTGGACCTCCTCCGTCTGTAGCAGCGGTAATTGTTGCATGGCCTACAAGGAAAACAATTATAGAGGGAAAGGCTTAGCGAGCTGAGAATGCAGAACGATAATCACTTTATGAAAAATGTATGTTGGCTGGACCATTAGGGATTTCTCTAACTATTTTCTCATGTTGAGTTTGAGGATCCTTCTGAGTGAGGGACATCTTTAAATAGCAGTCCTTTGGCTTTCTAGCCTCAGGAGAAATAAAACCCACCCAAAGTTCAAACAAAACAAAACAAAACCCCATAATTAACAGCCCTCTTGGTGGTACAGAACTTACTCTAGGATCTTTTCATAGTCCTAAAAGTAGATTTCTTGCTTGCTTAATCACTGTTCTTCCGTAGCTGCCATTTGTAGATAGGATATTTACAAATGTTGATAAAGGAAATGACTTGTGAGGCTGCGGGAACCATGTAGTGAGAAGTAATGAATAAGATTGGACAGATGATTGAACAAAAGCTGAAGACAGAATGGTGGGACTGAGAACCGAACTCAGCAAGCCCCGGGATAGGCTGTGAGGCTGACTGTGATTGGCCACACTTGCCACTTCTAGAGAGGATTGGGAGATGGGCTGTTTGCAGGAGGAGTAAAAACCGCCTACAAAAGAGAGACAAAGTGAGGAAGAATAAGGAGACAATCATTTTTTTTCCTAAAAAATCTGAGTGTGTCAGGGCCTGAGTTAGAGTGTGGTTGTATTTTTCATTCTCACTGCATATAGGTGAGTTAGCTATTATGTCCACAACTTTGCTGAAGATAAACCTTAAAAGACAGTTGGTTAGCACAGAGATTGGCACTTTTTTCTCTAAAAGGACTGAGCCAGCTAGTCCAGACATGTACTTTAGGCACAGGGTGATACTTGATGAATGCATAAATGAAAGTAGACAGACAGTGGTCTGAGCATGTCTGCTGAGGGGTGATCTTTTTTAACTGTTTTTCTCATATGGCTTTTGTCATGATCAATTGTTCTTGGTTTAGGAGTTGTTGGGTTGGGGGTGTCTCTGGCCTAGAAAACTCTATTGTTGTTATTACTGTTACGTCGCTTTTGACTCATAGTGAGTGACCCCATGGGACAGGGCAGAGATGGCCTATAGGGTTTTCTAGGCTGTAATGTTTAAGGGATCAGCTTGCCAGGTCTTAATCCCTCAGAGGTGCTGGGTGGGTGGGTGGGTTCGAGCTGCCTGTCCCCTAGGCCTCTTGTACACGGTGTTCTGACTGGGACCGTTACATCCTGAGCATGGTTGTGCTGGTCAGAAGTACCTCATTGACATTGAAATAGGAGGAGGTTAAAGAAATTGAGAAAGAATCAGGATGATAGGTCTTTTACCATACATTTCTCTCTCTGTTGTCTAATTAGTCAAAAGCCTGAAAAAAAATGAAGTGGTTTTATCTGTAAAGGTCAGTAGCTTTGTATTCTGTGTAACTAGGCGAATGAGTGGAATTTTGTCAAGTGTAGCCTACGAAGGACGCATATTCTGTGATTGTTTGCTTGTAAAACTCACTCTGTAGAAAGATTTTATACTGATTGAATTGACTTTATGATTCATTGTGAAAAGGGCACTATAAGGAACAGACAGGACAAGCCAAATGACATTGTGTCTAGTATGCCAGGCATAGGGCTTTTGTCCACGGAAGGATCCCTGTGATGTGTATGACCTTTGAAAAATTAATTAAAGTGCTTTTAACATTCCACCCCAAAACTTTAGAGAATAGCTAAAATTAAAAATAGAAATATGTTGATTGTATATGTATTATTTATGCATAGAAACATATACATTCATTTTTTAGCTGTTCCAAATGGTAACTTATTGTTATTAAGTGCTGTGGAGTCAGCTCTGACTCATAGCAACCCTTAGGAGGGTTTCTGAGCTGAAATCTTTGCAGGAGCAGAAAGCCTCATCATTCCCCTGCGGAGCAGCTGGTAGGCTCCACCTTGTAGTTTGTAGTCCAGTGTTTATCCTACAGAGCCGCCACACTCCCAGATGGTAACCAGGACAGCACTTTTATAGTGTACTAACTGTTAGCCTTTCTTAAGGAACTGAAGGAGTATTAACTTGTCTAGTCTTAAGAAAACAAAAGAGTGAATGTTACGATTCTATAGGAAGACAAACGTATTTCCTCAATCAAATAAAGGCAACTTTGTCGCCTTCCAGTCTGAAAGGGGGATTGAGAGATTTTAGGAGGAATATTGTTGTGTTGTTGTTGTTAAGTGCCATCGAGTCGGTTCCGACCCATAGCGACCCTGTACAGGGTTTCCGAGGGTGTAAATCTTTACGGGAGTAGAAAGCCTCATCTTTCTCCCGCGGAGCGGCTGGTAGTTTCGAACCGCTGACCTTAAGGTTCGCAGCCCGATTCGTAACCACTACGCTACCAGAGCTCCTTAGGAGGAATATTAGTAGTCTGATAATCCTGATTTTAAAACACACAGGACACTCATGATTAACCATTGTGGTTTTGTGATCCAGAAGTATTTTAAAATTTATGTCAGTTGTCTGGCATCCTAGCAGCAGGTATGGTAGCAGAGAGTGATGATTTCTGTATCTTCATCATTCTCCTCGGCATTCTCATGGCTTTCGGAATGTTGGCATCCTTAAACTGAGAACAACAACCAGGTAATCTTTTCCTTGACTATTGGCATCGTAAGTCTCTGGATTTTCAGAAGTGGTCTGATTATTTAGGTAGTTGAAGATTAATATTTTAATTGTAAAAGTTTTTGTTGAACTGTTTTTAAGGTATAGCTTTTGCATGGAAAGTTTTTTGTGTTCCTAGCTTCTTGAATAGGATAGTGTGGCACTGTAGGATAAGCACTGAACTGCTAACCTCAGTTGGCACACCACTGACCCCACCAGCCACTCTCAGAAATCCTATACAGCGTTGCTATGAGTCAGTACCGACTCAACGGCTTACAAGGACAACA